CACCCAGAGCACACACACCTGCCGGTTCGGTAGCGATTCTGTTTGATTTTCCTTGGGTCCATTCATTCCCTTTCGTCTTTCAAATACACACAGAAAAGTTGTCAGGTTTTGTCGCTGATGTTTTTCAAATACAGTAAACGCGAGTGTCTCGTGCCCTTGGGCGTTTTCTCTGTTCAAATACCTTGAAAATAAATAATCTCGGCGGGGAAGCCGACAGTACGGACGCTTATTATTTCATAACGCAAGGATTTTCCGAAGGTGTCGCAGGATCACGATAATTAATTCTATCAATTTTATTTTTCCTCTTGAAGAGCCAGCTCTATAGCCACTCATCCATCTCGATCTTTATGGTATCCTTGGCGCTATTCTCGAACTTGACAACAAAAATCCTCTCAACAACGAAACGTGATTTTGACGTTCAAGGATGCTGTATTCTCCGCGTTCATTGTCAGCCAGTAGGTATTCGTAAAGAAAATGGACTCATGAATTCCAAGCACGATCTCTGCATCGTGGCATGGAGTAAATAGCGGCGTGATTATGTCATTAATTGCGAACAAGCAAAGAGTATTAGAAGGTTTCATCACTTGTTGCGTCACACATGCATTTCCGATTTACCTGTTCGTATATATAGTGGCGGTGAGAGGTGAACACGGGGAACCTTGAAAATCCTCACCTTAAACATTTCGTATGCATGCTCATCAGATCCAACAAAGGAGGGGCATTCTGGTGCATGGTATAGAAGGATGGGCAATCAACTCATCATTTCATGAAGGAAGAAATCGAACTAAGGAAATTACCGTACTAGCTGTTCACCAGGTGATTCACTCGCAAATCCTGTACATCCTATGAAATCTACATGAAATTCACCAAGTTATGAACATAAAATTCTGAAACGTTCACCTGTTAAAGCTGGACATAAAATCGGAGGCAATCTATCGTCCAGGAAAATTAATAAAAAATTGGTGTCCGAGCACAAAATAAAAGTTCATTCAGATCACAATAGAAGGATTTGTATAAATTACAAATAGAAATAGAAATATACATGCATAGAAATAGAAATATGCATGCATAGAAATGTATACAAATAAAACAAATTATGCCTCAGAAATTTTTTGAAGCTAAAATAAAAGGTGAAATTAAATTGAGGAACATTTTAGATTCACAGGCTTTAAAACAGCGTGAGTTTTTAAAATTTATTATGCTCTTTATTTCTATACTTTCGAAGGTCCAGAGCTGAAATTAAAAATAAAATAGGTTTTCTTACTTTAATAACCTTACTTTACAAAAAAGGTGACGTGCTGTAGATAGAGGATAAGGAGGGTACTATCGGTCTCATTCGAGCGGGTTTTTTTTATTGAATTAGCGAATCATCTATGAACACTGACGCATCAAGCCAATTTTTCATTCGAGGCAAAAACTCCATTTCGAATTGGCAATTAGCTAAAATGCAACACTACAGGTTAGGTATTTTTTCCTGTTACTTTGTGAAAAATCAATGCTCATAAAATTATCGAAATTTCCACTGTTTCGAAATATAAAAACCTGAACATACGTGGAACGAAAAAAATATATGCAAAATACAACATTTTAGGCTCAAGTTATTGAACTTCTTGTCACCGACAGATTCGGAGTAATCAGCCATTTTATGCGTAGAACGAGCTTTTCTTCCTGCTTTGAAAACTTTTTACGGTACAGTAGATGGACGGATTATTTGTTAATAAATGCAGCAATCCTAATAAAAAATAAAGACATTAAGAAGTGAATTAAAATGCGATGTAATTTGGCTTTTATTTTAGCCTATACATTCAGATTTCACTCGCCATATTTTCTAAACACCGACATAATGGTTGTTGTCATTAACTTTTGGATGCGAAGGTTACATCTTAGCCGGTAATAGGGTTTCCTAAATTATTTTTCGACCCAAAATCATGCGGGTTTCATCATCTAAGCATTCTAATGGTAGTCCAGGAAACGCAGCATTTTAAAGATTTAATTTCACGGAAGTATCAGCAGCGCCTATTTTTAGGGTTAAGGCTAATAAGAACTCATGAGATATGACCGTATATGAGATAATCTTCTCATGATACCCAAATTCAGCACCAGACCCAACTCACTGATAGCTGCATCGTATTTAATGGAGTACCATCCACACCTTTTTTCTTAAAATTGCTGACAGGAAGAAAAGGGTGCCTGTCATAACTATATATACTGTACTTCATATAGGTCACTATATATACTTCGGCAGTACGCATCAGCAGCTGTACTTCGAAAGAATATGTTTAAAAGGAAGGCGACAGTTGATATTGAATATACTGTAATACCCCTGCGATAGTTCAGAGGCTATCGAAACATCGCTAGCATTACCTGCTTCCAGCGTGGGACAGGAATTCTCAATGCATATTTCTTCAGGCAGCAATGCACCCTCTCTTTTCGATCCCGAAATGAATGGACGTTCAGCAACAATAATAGAGTCTCTATAGGTAACGATGAGTCAAACCTCGCGTACAGTGACAGAAGAATCCACGTCGAAAGCCCGTCAAGTCAAGATGTGGGGAGGACAAAGAGCGATTCTCGAGGAAACCCGGCTTCTGCCCACACAATGATCGCCTTTTCAATTGTCCACTGGGTGACAAAAGTCGACTCCATTCCACACAGCAACGGGGAAAAAAATGAGGCTGCGGGTTTCTGACGATTCTTCTGTTGGCATTCTTTGGGTATCTCCGGCGCGAAAATATCCTTTTTGCAGGTGAGGAATGACTTCCAAGGGAGTCGACATATTTTCGTGATCCACTCATGGCCAGCAGCTATGCGACCTTGAACAAGTCTCAGTTCTTCAAACATGGATTCCCCACCTTTGAATGACAGAATCTTCATGACCAATAGTGCATGAAACTTACTTCTCTGTGTGTAATTTTCCGATTATCGGAAGGACGAATTTAATTCAGAAATACAGGTGGACTATCAAAATCAAAACTCAAGGGACCAGAAAAAAATAACTGTGGAGAGAAATTTGTCGCAGAGAACCAGTATAACATGGTGAGAGAACCCAAGGAACCAAATAAAAATTCTTCATGCAGAGAAATTCGTTGCAGAGAAGAGTTACTGTACAGAGAGTGTACAGTATCTGTAATAGTTTCAGGTGTTAACAAACTCTTGGTAAACTGGTATTCAGAGTTTAGACCCTTAGCACAGAAAATTTGTCTGAAGAAGTACAGTCAAACACCATTAAACCGCCAATGTCTGTGCAGCAAGATTTTGGCAGTTTAACGAGGGTGGTGGTTCCTTGGGGGGGGGGGGGGGGAATATGTCATTAGCACACAAAGCAAAGGATCACAGAAAATGAGATCACTTTTTTTTATGTTGTAACTGAGATGAATTTTTTCTTGTCCCTGGATGGTTGGAAAATTAAAAATTCATATGCATTCCATGATAAGTTTTTCAACTTCTAAGAAAATCATTTGTAAAAAGAAAAATGACAAAGAGAAGGGCTGTTTCAAATGCCTTGCTTCCTATCATGCACACTTCTGCAAATGACAATTAAAGTACTGTATGTATTTGCAACTTCCAGCAGTCTCCCTACCAGATGATCATCAAACAATAATGATGGTTCAAAATGACTTGCCAATTGGTATGCTGATGAAGATTGAAAATAGAAATTATTCATTCAATATTTGTCCAATAGAATGAGTTATCTATTTCTATAAACTAACAATATTTCAAAAAATTACCCCAGCACATCCATGTAAATTCCTATGTTTGCAGCATGTTGACAGCTTCATGGTGATACATTTTAAACATCAGCTGGGTTTGATTTCAGTAAAAGAATATCTATACAAATTTTTAAAATATTACAAGGAATCCATGAATTTGTCAAACAAGCCCCAAATGTCTGAAAAAATTCAATTATACATTCCCTGCTTAACTTTCAGGAGTATTCTAAATTTTGAAGGAATCTCTTGTTGGAAGCAAGAAGATGATTATGTTTTGCAGCCAATCTGAATACACTTCGATATTTAAAAAAAAAGCTGCACATCATTCAGAGGGTCAAAAGAGTTTCTGAAGAGTGCTTGCAGACCATAACATTCAAGGATTTATGGAGAAAAAATTAAACTCTGAAGAGTACGTTTGGAAGAAGGAAAAATGCTGCTTGTTTCAAGAAAAAGTACGGATTGAAAGAATTTGAAGAAAAAGTATGAGGAAAGCCTTGGTCAGGAAATTGAAGCATTGGCGGTTTAACAGGGTAAAAAACAAAGGCAAGTGCCTATTTGTGGCCAGCAAATTGTTGGCAGATGACGGCCTATCAAGGTTTCCCCATCCTTTCAACATTGGGGAGATTTGTTTGGGGTAAAATTTTGGTGGGAGGTGAGGGTGGCGGTTTATCCAGGGGCAGTTTAACAAGGTTTGACTGTCCTTTGATTTTTTAAATTATTTTCTTGTCACAGCCTCAGGGGGGATTTTATACTGCACTAGTTCCAACAGTTCTCCCAAATACTGAACATGTACCGTTTTCTTCGCATGGATGATTTTTTTCTGTATCCTAAGCATTGTAGCGAATTATATTCATCGTATAAGGTAGGTAGTACATGAAACATGATGATCCATTTAAAAGAGACAAATTTGAAAATTTTCAGAGAACAATTTTACCTCAGCACGACGCACGCCCGACTTTTTGGCTGGTGCGCGTGTAATCAGGCAATTACGATATAGTGTTTTAGTTCAAATAAATATTCCATAAAAATATCACTAACATTATTACTGTAACAATCATATACTGTAATATCAATACTAGGATAAAGCCATCAGCACAGTACAGTATATTGAATAAATGCATATAATCAAACCTATCGAAATTTGCCCATCCTAGGATTCGATAGAGGCCCAAAAATGCTTTGAGGAGTGAAAGTTCTGAACGATTCCCCGGTCAGCATTCTCCTGAAAATGCATCAAGTGGCTCATGAAAAATAGACGCAAGATTCCCACGATTCATGAGAAATAAACGATTTTGATCAAATATCCCATTCCATTTCTGCGCACAACTGACCCAGGAACAAGAATTCAAAACGTGCCACCGCGGCAACACTTCCAATTCTCAGATGATATTTCCGACCGATTGCATACGACACACAACCGTGATTTCTTACACCCCGTACCCAAAAAGAACAGTTCAAAAAATAAATACATGCGGTAAGAACACTACATCTCAGAGGGTAAGCATGGTCGGGTACCTCCCACCTCGAAATTCGCACCGATTAAAACTACTTCGCTATCGCAAACCAAATCGAAAGTAAGCGACGACCATAGAACGTCACGTCAATTGACGATTTTCAGGTAACCCATTCACGAAAAAAAATAATTTGCGCTAAATTCCGCACTGAACGGTACAGGAAGACGTGCGAATGAACTTCTCTCCAGGCGACAGAAAGAGCCCCGTAAGCCGACACACACAGACACGAACTCACAGACACACACACCCGGAAACCATATGAAGACTTATCACAACTTTATCCGTCATCAAAATGAAAAAAAATCCCAGCGCGAGGAATCAACGCATAGAAATTTATCGCGTTCTCACCAAGATACTTTTCGTGTGCGCAAAAACGAATAATGGAACGGGAACAGCTGGGGAAAGGAAAGCAGCACCGTTGTCAAGTTGTCATCAACCGCGATACAAGAAAAGGAAGTACGAGAATAGACAGCTAGATGGAACCGCAGGGAATAACGATTCCAACCCATACCGCATTTCATGCTTCTTTCTTCGATTCAGTGTCCGCTGAACTAGCTTTGGACTTGTTTGGCGAATCCTCCTCGTCGAAATACTCCGTTGGTTTCTCGCCGGGTTTCAATAGCTTTCCGACGCAGAAGTAACGTTCTAAGAGAGAAATAATTACCTTAAATTTAATGAACGGATCTCCGTTGGGAAAAATCAGACCTGTAATCCCCGTATGTACTACAGTACTTTCGTTACTCCAATGTAAGTGCGATAAGAGAAAAATCCTGAACACAGATAACCTTACTTTCCCCAACATCTGCACATCGGACTTTGAACATGAAATTAGTTAATCGCCATCTGTTCCCCTGAAGACCCGATCTCAAAATAAGAATTTGGCTTCTGATCAATGCACCGTACGGTTCCATCGTCAAAAAAACCAAAAAAATACGGCGAAGTACACTACTGGCATGTAATTTTCCGTAAACGTACACTACTCGCATTATAAAAGGTCGCACCTTGATTCCAGGCGACAATTTGAAAAAAAAAAAAGGATTTTGTTTTTCAAATTTTCCCATGATAATGAAGTGCTCAATTCATCATTTATACGCGTGCAACGAAATTAAATGCAACTCACCCGTAAGCTGGGCTTCCCATTCTCGTAATGATTCCATTTCTGCGGGATTTAAATCACTGAGGTCATCGTACTCCACGGGTGCACTGTCAAGCGTGAATTTTGCCAATCCTCGAGAAGCATCTCTGCCAGCGTATATCGAGTACGGTGCGTCTGCAGGAATTCAGAGCGAAAATAATGTTACTTGACGTATACAGGTGGACTCGCTCCAAAATAAAATTCAAGGAACCAGAAAAAAAATCATTATAGAAAGAATTTCGTCATAGAGAATCACTATAAATATGAGTGAAGAACTCTTTTCTATGGGACCACACAAAAATTCGTTAGGTATAGTGACAATCGTTATCGAGAATGTCTACCTGCAGTAAAGTGGAAGACGTGTATAAGGATGCAACTTCCAACGAAGCGCGCTACAGATGAAGACTTCTGGCACCAATGGAAGTTTGTGAGGCCAAGTGAATCTCATGCTACTGAATTCTTACTGATTTTCGATCATTTAAGCAACTTATTTTTCAGTCAAATATCTCGGCAAACCTCTTCCTAATATTAATGCGCAAGGTGATGACCATCAGACATCAAACAAAAACAACAAACTTATTCAGGCTTAATACAATTCCATTAGTTCCACTCATCCGTATGATCTTGGCCTTAAATTACAGACATCCGTGCCTATTCTTGGAGGGGGCACACATCTTGAACTAGGATATCTTGAAACTTCATTGTTACTTGTCTGGAACAGTTGCGCAAAAAAGAGACCCCTGTATTAGAACAAAATTAAGATCGATTCCATGCGAAAAATCGAACATCCTTCCACAGGGACGGCAATAAAAATCAAATACCATGAGCAGGTCACAATGCGACACAGCACCACAGGAAACACACTCACTAGGTCCGTAGAGCTGCTTAGCAGCGGACACGTCAAGAACTTTCCCGTTAACAGCGACAAGAATGCGTCCCTCAGAATTCAAGACACCATCAAACTCCTTCAGCTCTTCCACGGTGAAATCTCTTCGCTTCATTCTCGGTAACCGTGGTGGAAGAGGAGTGGAGTCCTCGTCATCCTTTTTCGAACCGAAGCCCAATAGTCGATAAATTAGGAAACTGCACAGAACCAAGAGCACTAAATTCAACGGACTCGACGCCTCCGCTATCAACCCGGCCATGAATCCAGGTTCCTCTTCAGAGCGTGGTTCTTCACTCATCTGGAGACAAAGGAACTGGCTGAAACGAGCAGCGCTTCATCTGCACTGATTTCTCGAATTTTCCTGTAGGTTTCTTAGAGGTAACAGAACGTTAGCACTTCTATTAACCAGCGAGCAGAACGCTAGAAACGAGCATAAACTAAGGATACTTCAACAAAATCAAACACTCAATTCCACATCAGGCGTTAAGCCGAATTTTGGAAGATGCCAACGTTGAGTTCTTTCCAAAAAACTGGACAAATTAAAACCATGACAGGATTTTTTCACTCCAGAATGAATTTCTTTTCCACACATGCCTAAGCCACATACTAGACAAGCAATAAGACCCAAATAAGAATTCTGCGCGTCTTTTCGACGAAAACGAAATTGAAACTGAGACGGTGAACAGTCGATCTTGCGCACAATTTCACACACTTCACAGTACTGAGACCGAAATTCCTGCGAAAATGGAAATTTACGGGATAAGATCAGATAAAAGATTTTGCGATCGCCATTATAAAAAATTTTCCTCGACAGTTCCAGCGAACATTCAAACAGAAAGATACAACAAACCCACGAGAAAGATGAAGTGACGCAAAATTTGCTAAAAATCAGAGCAATAAGGGACGAAAGATTTCGAGGATTCTCTACGACAAGCGGCGAGAGTGGGACACAAGAAAGATGCTCAAATTTTGTCCGAAAATTTTCTATCAACAACTGTAATCATTCGAGGACTGATCAGAGCCCGATGACTCGCGTTTTCGCTTTCTGCTCTTCTCCTTCTCCTTTTCCTTCTCTTTCTCCTTCTCCTTGTGCTTTTTCTTCTTCTTTCCCTTCTTTTGTCTCCGATCGTCCTCATCTGCCGTCTTCTCCATCCATTCTTCCCGATCCTCCTCCTCATCTTCGTCTCTCGATCCTCGCTTGTCTTCCCGCCGACGATCCCGACGGTAGCTCTCCGGCGCATTGTCTTCTTCGTCAATTTCTTCTCTGTCCTCTTCTTCAGATTCCCGACGCGTGCTTCGATAATCTCTGCCGCGGTAATGCTTAACGCTTCGCGATGGAGCGGCTTCATCCTCGTCATCGCGAGTCGACCGACGTGCGTTCTGCGCTTGAGAGTGGAACCGTTGGTAACGCTCCGACAAATCTTTGTCTCGCTTTTCGCGTTCTCGATCTCGTTCCCGAGCTTTCCGGTCTCGATCACGATCAGACTCGCGTTCGCGCTCCTTTTCACGACGTTCACGTTCACGTCGCTGTTCTTCCTCTTTTTGCTTTCGAGCCTGAGCTTCGTGCCTATTAAAGTTAAACAAAGGTCACACAAAATCTGTAACTACCGAAAAAGTACTATCCCCTAATCGCCTTATTGTCGCATGGCAAAACTGATTTTATACATTATAAAAAAAATCTCAAGAAAATGGGGAATGACCAAAACCAAAGAACCAACTTATCGAGATTAATCGGAAATTTGCCGTACATTACGAGCCAAGGCCGAAAATGTATTTCACATTTGTTTCATTCTTTCTTGGACCACAGTTCCGACTTTTACACTACCCAGGATTTCAAACATTATTCTTTCGAACAGGCAGTACAACGCGTATTCCCAGAATGCTTCCTTCCTCGACAATCACAATTCACTCAATGGTGGAACAGCATATTCAATGCTGGACGGAGCTTGTGTGAAAAACCGTAAGTACAACTGTTTGGATGTCTAAAATTATCACTCATCTTCACAAATCGTTCTGCAAAATTTTACCAAACCAGATCGTATATTAAAAGGACTATTAGTTTCTTACTTTGAAGAAAAAGGACTTCTCCACTGATGAATCACAAGAAGTTTACAGGAACTCGAGGATTTCTTCCAAAAATTAAATGATATATAGTCACCAATACAGAAAGAATATCGGCAAGTAGCACCTTCAAATTAGTTCTCTTGACTTCTGGAGAAAAATCAACTTTTTCTAGTTTAACTCAACTACGCGTGATTTTCGTCAAATAAACAGAATGAGAAACATAGAATCCGACCTCCACCGATATTTTTTTTTAAATGGCAGATCGTCGTATCAACCTCCAAAAAATCAGCTGTTTCGGTAAACGTGGCTGCTACCATAGTTTACCGAACGAAACCTATCTGTTCAATTCTTTTCGTGTCAGACATCGGGGTTCGGAGCGTATCGGCCATTCCATATAACTCCATGTTACTTGGTTGGTTAAAAAATTAACCTCGAATGATCAAGTGAAGCACAGTGTGTTCATGAACAAATCACCTCAAATACAGTACTGTACCTGGCTCTCTCTCGCGATCGTTCTCGGGAACGACCGCGACCGCGCACGTCAGCACGTTTTCGTTCCTGCGGCTCCTCCCGGCGTCCGCGTTCTCTCTCACGGTCTCGGTCTCTTTCACGATCCCTGTCGCGTTCACGATCTCGCTCTGTATCCCGCTCGTACTCCTTCTCACGAGCGTCACGACCCCGGTCCATTCGCTTTCGATCCCGTTCAGGCTCACGTTCTCGTCCACGTGGACGCTGCGGGGACGCTTCTGGAGTCGGCTCGCGCCTACGGTCACGACGGTCTCGTTCACGACGAGATGCTTCTCTTTCATCGTCTCTACGACGACTGGAATCGTCCTCGTCACCCCTCTCCCGTTCCGATGACCTCATGCGACGATCGAAGTATTTCTCGTACGCTTCATCCAAGCCCTGGATAGACAAGCAAGACCACAGACCCACGTCAAGTGATTGCACACGTTCGACTCAAAAACACACCATATACAAGATCCACGAAAATCTGAACAATCCCATGATGACTTCGCAGAAATATCGGCACATGCATTGAAATTGTCTACATTATCTACGAAGAAAATCATGAGAAAATGTGTTTTTTGTACAGTCGAAACTCAATAGGTTGAGCCAGCAAATAAATTTGAGCTAGGGGAAACAGGCATCTGTGGGGGGCAGATGGTAGAATTACAGAAAATTGTAATTGGTGATATTCTAGGCCTCAAATAGCTTCTCTAATGAGTTGAGAGGATGCTGAACTAGCAGGGAAGAGTGCATTAGGCCAAATAGTCATTCACTTCGTTTTTCATTGCTGTTCTCTTTCCTGTGTCAATAAAATTATGGCCAAAAGGCCTCCAGAAAATTTGAGTTCTGCAGGTTTGAGGAGTAAAGCCTTCCCGTTTTGGAGGCGAACAATGAATTGTTTGTAAGGGAATACAGACAGAAAATAGAAATAAATTAAACGTAGGGATATATTTGACTCAGGGAGTTTAGCGTTATCGAAGTTCAACCGCAGTGGATTTGACCTATACTAGAGGAGCGGAATGCTTCATTCGGAGTACCAGTTTTTAACTCTAGCGTACCGAAGAATCTCAAAATTAAAAGACGGTAGAACATGGCCGACACATCTGAAATTTCTTCCAAGAAGATTATAATGCTGAACAGCAGTATTTACATCCCTATAGATTCAAAGAACAGCCAGAAGTGTAACCTTCGCTCCACCGCATTTACACGGTGCACTTCCGAGTTCCCGTATTATCGCCATTATAACCTGCATTAGGAAAACTTGCAGGTGACGAAAAAAAAGGATATTTGACAGTTTCTTCCACTCTTCACCGAAGACAGGGTATGGCCTTTCACATGAGAGACTTATAAGAGATCAATAAGGACAGTTCAGTAGAATCAACCGTTAATATGGTGGCCACGCGAATGACCGAGAAGTGCATCGCGTTTTACGATGAATAACCTACAGAATCACATTCCATAGACCGTTTAGCGCGATTATCTACATAAATGGACAAAAGGCATTACCTCGTAATAAGATCGAGGTCTCTGCTGATCATCATTTTCATCGTCGCTGCGTCGACGCTCAAACCTTTCACGACCTCCTTCCCTCGGTGAATCAGACCTCCGATCCGCATTGCGACCAAACCCGTCTGGGCGTCCGGGTGAGAGCCCTTCTTCACCTGAACTGTTACGTCCGCGACCATGTCGCCAACCTCTTCGGGCCATGGGACCATCTAACCCGGCAGCGAACCTACACGGAAAAAAATTGATAATTCATCATGGAAACTTTTTTTTTGAGTTACAGTATGAACAACATTTTCGAACGTAACAAGAGTAATTGAGTTTCGCGATTCAGCCGATGTAATTCCAGTTAGACTCTCTCAACAACGATTTACTTCGTATAACTTTTTTTCCTTGTAGAGATTCAGTGGAAACAAATTGTCTCAACTAATCTTATCTGTTCCCCTGAAATACTTTGCAGAAAGTCCATATATTCTAGTTTCTCGTAAGCAAATACAGCATTCTAGAAAAGTAACTTGCCTTGGTGGCAAATCATCGAATTCTGGAGGAAAATCTCGAGGATGAGGAAATCGACCACGAAAACCTGGGCCGAATCCAGGCCGATCGAAGAAGGGTTGCTGCGGGAAATGAGGGTGGAAATACGGGGGCGGAAAATCCCCATATGGTAAGAAGTCTCCAGGTAATGGCGGATATCGAGGAGGAAATGGCGGAGGCAGGGGATTTCCGAATTCATCAAACAACAACTCCGGCGGAATAGAATGTCGGCGATGCTTCCGCTTGTGCTTCCGCCGACGATGACGACTACGACTTCTTGATTCACTCCGTGAGCGACTTCGACTTGATTTGGACCTCGAACGACTCCTGCTGCGACTTCCAGATTTACTTCGGCTACTCCGCGAGCGGCTCGATTTAGACCTACTGCCACAAAAATTCACCAGTACAGTGCATATATTACACACGAACGGAACACACGGACTAATGAAAACAGTTTTACAGAACGAACTGATCCTAGTGGATGAAAGAAGTTCTCCATTTTTTCCCTTAGTAAGATACATTCGCAACAAATTTACGGCTTTGGCAAGCTTTACCTAATTTGTATGCTGAATTTCTCTCGATGCAAAATCTAAATGTGTAATGCTATCCTGAAGACAATTTCGCTCGTAACGAAAATTCTGTTCGGCAAATGGATTATTCGCGTGAGCGTTGAAACGCTATTTTCTTCGCATCCATCAACTGAGCACCTCATCTAGCATCAAATTTCGATGCCTTCGGCATCCTTCAAGCATAAGCTACCAATAATCATGAGGATCATACAAATTCCGATGTTTAATTGCGTATATTTCTCTGATTTCAAGTGTTCTGAAAACCGTATTGTACTACTTAGCCACAATTAAATACATGTGAGTCATTATAACCTCTGACTCATTAAACGAAGAATTTATTTTTTCCAATTCTTGCGAACAGTATCCTTGATTTGTGATCATCGAAGCTTCGAAGAATTTGGTCTTCAGTCCAGATAATGAACAGCTCAAGAGGTAGAGGAACACTGAAATTCAAATCGTCTGAGTAGCTAACCTTGACCGACTCTTGGATCGTGAACGTGATCGCCTCGATCGCGACGACGAACGAGATCGACTGCTTCTGGAGCGACTGGAACCGCTTCTTGAACGACTGGAATAAGATCTTGACCGACTCGAGCTTCTGCTATCGGAGCTGCTGGATGAATGGCCTGGAATACACAGATAAGATACAAACTTCACTTTCACCGCAGTTGATCGCGCATCCATCCATAAGATAACGCGCGTAAAATCCAGTCTCCATGCTAGATTAACTACAGTATGAGCTCGAATCAAGAACAATCGTATGTGAGCGTGAAAATTAATTACCTCTTGCTTGGCGCATAGCACGTTTGAAAAGCTTTTCTTGCTCACGTTGCCTTTCGTACTCCAAGTCGATGAACTTCGTACGTTTTTCCTTCTTTGATCCCATCATTGGAGCATCCAAATGCCACAATTGTCCATCTGGACCGATCATGCCAGCAAATCCACCCCGAGGAATGAAGCCTCGCCCCCGCGGACTGTAAGAAGAATCACTGCAGATTACATCGGAGACCTACAATTTTTTCGCACTTATACTTTCCCCTACAATTAAAACACTAAACGAAGATAAGAATTAAGACTCACGCACGGAAATGAAGAGATACCAAAATATGTTTTCAAAAACTCACGGAAAACCGCGGAAGAAACGACCCCGACCTCGGAATCCTCCAAAATTTTGAAATCCTGCCCCTCTTCCATTGAAAGCATTCTGAAAAAATGGACGACCGCGTCCACGAAATCCTCCACGCCAACCGTCCCCAAAAGGTGGAAGCGTATCCAGTCCAGCACCATTGGGAACTCCTGACAAAGCGTATCCACCTTTTGCTGCTTCGTCGGGTTCATTTTCAGCATCCGAGGAATTGCGCGAGCTGTCACTGGAGATTTCCGATAGCGACGAAAGCATGGGGTCGTCATTTTCGCCTATCACTGCACCGCTTTCTCCAAGCACTGACTTCAATGCTAAAGATTTCTCCTGCAGACAACCCAGACACCAAAAGGAAAAAGAGAAGAAAAACAAATCTATCAAATTCCGAACACGAAACGACCGGAAAATACGAAAAGAATCCACGAGGCAGGAATCGAATAGCGACACTCCAGATATCACGCCAAAATAACACTCATGCCCGTCAAAAGTCGGCCATTGGTGCTGCGAAAAAGTATAGGCGGAAAGAGATGCACCGCCATCTTCGGCATCTGGTTAAGAAGATTTGCCCATCCATCCGGTATATCGACACGAATAAAGACGAATCGCGCGTCCCGAAATTCCGTTTCTACGTAATACGCGCGATTACCACTTGATTTTCTGAACGAACGGATACTATTTCTCATTGTCAACATATGGAAATCGTTCCATATTTTTCTCCCATTCGAGGGATAAAGAATCTGCAAGGAAGACTAAGTACCACAGGTGACAAGCGAAAGTAACTGCTCTTCAACTTTTCGACCGGCAAAATGAAAAAATCGTAAGCGCAATGAAAGCAACGTTTTCCAAAAGTACCCTTACCAACAGCCGAAACATGAAGTTTGGCTTTGGTGCGCACAAAGGCATCAGGGTCACGGGTTTCGGAAACGTCGTCGGAAAATTTACGACGCAGAACAGATAAATATCCAACGAAATGCGTAAAAAATGTTCACTGACCTCCATGGCTTTACGCAATTTTTCGCGCTGCTCTTCAAGCACTTTGCCTTGATGTTCTTTAAACGCCTGAACGATTTTCGCACGAGAGTCATTTTCCTTCGCACTCTGATCTTCAGGAGTAGCTTCCAATAGCTGAAGCAGAAAAATTTACGAAATGTAATATGATTCATCCGAAAGAATGAATTGAAAAAAAAAAACCCACATTGCGCATCTGCAAAATTCCAGGTTTCACATCTTCACCCGCCTCAAGCGCACCATCTCCGACGTCTTTACACGCTTTCGATAACTGAAACCGAAAATATCTCTCAGGTGAGAAGAATATGAAATCGAAGTGAAAACTAACCTTCACTCTATCCAGCAGAGAATCCAATAGTCTAATTGACTCCAGCTTTCTGGTGGCAACCAACAGCTTTCTTTCTTCCATAGCAATGCGGATGGAAAACTCATTCTTTTCCTTCATCTTTGCTTTGATCAGACGAGCTTGCGCCCGCTTCTCCTCTTGTCGCTTTTTCCTTTCCGCTCGCATTCGCTTTTTTTCTTGTTTCTTAGCCATTAACTTTTCAGCAGCTTCCAGGGGAGTCAATGCACTACGGAAAGAATAAATTTCAGGTCAAGAATAGCTCAACGTATTAACATATACATTATCATGAACATACGCATCACCACCAACTCGTCCCCATCCCATTTTATCGTCTTCTTTCCTTCCAAATGTTTGCAATCGTTCACGCTCCTCACGTCTTTTCTTGATAGATGCATCGCTAAGATGCTTCGTCTTATCGAAATCCACCTACACGAAAATGTCACATCAAGAACAAGAAATCTACATTCCTTTAAATTAGCGATGTACCTTTGCCATGACACTGAAGCCTTTCCCATCCTTAATGTGTACGATCTTCATTCCGCGCAGAGCGGTCATACCTTTCACAAACCCGATGTACTCCTTGAACTGAATGAATGCATCAAAAAAGTCTGCCGACCGGGATTCTGGGGGTCCCAGCCCTGTAGCCAAATGTACAGAATAGTTAGATCAGCACGAAACTTGACGAAGTCCAAGGTTCAACTTTACCAGAGATGGATGAAGACATTTGGTCTCGCAACATGTCAGTGATCGGTATGTCCACGCAACGAATTTCGCCCCAGGTTTGGAACGCTTGCTTCAGACAAGCCGGGTCTGGTTTTTGAGAACCTTTCGCCAACTCATCACGAGATGCGAACCAACGGTTCGGTAAACCTTCGATCTTAATAGTATCCGGTCTTTCGCCCGCCTTCATTTCGTTCATGTTTTTGGCATCCCGAAAAAAACTGTCCCAATCGTTGCGCGTAGGGAATACCAGACGCGCTTCCGCTGCTTTGATTTTCAAAGGATCCGTGACATTTGCCAACTTGATTGTTTTTTGGTCTAACTTGGCTATGGCAGTTTTCAGGTCTCCCTTGTTTTCAATTTCCCCCTCCAAGCGTAGAAATTCCATTGTAGTTTTCACTACCTGTACAGGTTTCATACGTTAAGACACCCACAATACCTCCGCGATCCACTTGTGCAGTACAGTACCTTTAGCGCAGTGAATTCTACAGGTTGAAGCAAGGCTTTGACGCTCTCCAAAACCTCCCAATTGTTCATGGACTGACTCGGAGCCCGTAACGGCGGTAACTGAACCGTTATCGTCAAACGAGCAACAGGTTTCAAGAAGAGACCTAGCTCTCCGCAGAACTCCAAGCAATCCGAAACATCCTTGCATGGTTGCATGTCACCCATGGTGGCTCAAGCAACTCTTCCGCACTTGACGTGACTGAAGGAGGCCGAGGGCAAACTCCTTTCACGGACTGTGTCTGATGAGTCCGCTTTACGACTGATCTTCATACAATATGAAAACGTATCCGAAAGTCTCCGCTACTCGACTTCCTTCCGTCGATCAAAACTGCTCAGTAGATTTAATGCCTCGCACTCTCTTACCAAATTACAGTTAACTCAAAGCTCATTCACGGAGTTGACAACATCACGAAGACGTCTTAAGATTCCGCAACTTTGACGAACTAACACAAGTTATATCCCGACTGCCGATCGACGGCGTAACCCAACCCGTGTCGGGTAAGGATGTAATGGCGCCCTCTTCAGTGAGCGGAGATCCATGTTGGTTTAATTTAGAGAGATCTTATTTATGAGCACAGTGTTACACGTAGTGCAGAATTGAACCCATTCAAGTTCAGATCACTGTGGAACTTCTATGCTCGTTGAATTACATGCTGAAATGGATTTCCCGATGTGTTGAATCCTCCGCATTGCACTAATTTTAATTTTCCATCCATGGACGTGATTTTTATTGATCATAAATTATAAATAAACTGCAGTTCTGCGTGTGTGTGTGTGTATCTTTACGATGTAGGCGGCCATGGCCCTTGGTCCACATGATTCACGTGATTCTGGTGGTGCACGTTTTTCTTACCCCGTGCGGCGTGTGCTTACGTTATGTCAAATTGGAGTTCGGGCCGAGAATTCTTCGGAAGAAGAAAGCAGTGCATGAATTTTTGTTTGATGCGCAGGCGATTATTCATTAGCTGTGTGATTACCTGTTGGCGTTATGATAGATTTCGAAATGGTTTAACGATTTCTTCAACAAGATTTCTGTGTTTCTGATTTCGCTTGAACTCGCAAAATCCCGAAGTTTGACAGAATCGAAAACGCTTAGAACATGTGGAAAGGCTTCACGTGTAATGAGGCGTAACTTTACTCATATTTACCTTTCTGATTAACTCGACGTCGCATCCCGAGTAAATACAGTACCAGAAAATGAGTGTTGAAGTTTCAGTCACATCTGATGATGAAGTGGAAGGACAGATGAATTTACCAGGGAATGTTCCTTCCGGAATCAGTCGCAAGGGTGATACCTTGGAATTCAACACCCTCGATGAACCTATAAAAGATACATTCGTGAGTACGATTGAGTTACCGGAAAATTGCCCGCTACTATTTTTTAAAATTCATTTCAGATGAGAGATGTGCATGCCGTCGCTGTAAAATTCAAGCATGTGTTGTATCCTACCGACAACAAAACATTGCTAAAAGATTGTAAGTGTGTACAGCTTTATTTATTTTTCGTTCATCTCTCAGATTTGCTGTCATTCGCAGGGGACTTGTGGGGACCATTAATTCTTTGCACTTTCTTGGCTGTGTGAGTAATTTTAACCTGTAATTTCGCTGTCAGAATGAGAAGCTCTTCAACTCTTCCCCAGTATATTGCAAGGCGAGGAGACTGACGTTTCCGGTTCAAAACACGATGGTGGTCCGGAATTCGCTGAGGTGTTCGTTCTTGTTTGGGTCGGTTCCATGGTTGTGACATTGAATTCAAAGCTACTGGGAGGGACGCTGTACGTTTGATTGGATTCTTCACGTGTTGATTTATTGATTTGATTCAATGAGCTTGTTCGCAGGTCTTTCTTCCAGAGCGTGTGCGTTCTCGGGTATTGTCTGCTGCCGCCAAGCGTTTCACTAATATTCTGTCGGCTGGTCCTGCTGTTCCAACAGAACACTCTTCTATTTCTCTTCAGACTTCTGTTCACGATGACTGGCTTTGCTTATGCTGTGTTCGGTAAGTGAAAATAATTATTTTTCGCTTGTCGAGTCATTGAGTCAGTTCTTAATTTTCAGCGGCGTTGAAGTTTTTGGGTGACAGCCAACCGGCCAACAAGAAAGTTCTAGCGGTTTATCCAATTTTTTTGTTCTATTTCATAATATCTTGGTTGATCATCTCGCATACTCAAGCCTGAAATATCGATTGATTTTCTTTGTTTTGTTTGCCGGGTGATCTCTGCACAAGAATATGCTATACAATTATCGCGTGATTCCGCATTGTTTGTGATTGTCTTCACTATTCTTCTTTTCCTGTTCATAAAAATTTTGGTGATTTAAACATTGCATTGTGTGCGCGATGATTTTCACCATGTAATGGGAGTATTTATCCCTCTTGTATAGCATCTTTAATTTTAGGGTGATAATTTGTAGAATGAATCAGAGACTTTCGAGGAAGAGAAAACCTTTGCTGAGCACTCAGCTGAACCAGCTCTCTCAAAGTAAGTGACCTCTTTCCTTACCTTACCGGTCGGCCGTATTGTTGATCATCCTTATGTTCCTATCTGTGACTGTCCTTTTCAGGCTTTTCTTTCAATGAACAGTTCATGAAAATAAAGCGCTGCGTAATCTGTATGGTTCCACACAGTGCTTTTAAATCTTCAACTGAAGCGATAAAGCATGAAAATGTTTGTTGTGGTCCCAGGAAGAACAAACCTTGTAAGTTTCCATATTTTCGTTGGCAGAATTTATCTAATGACGCATTGTATATCACAAGCTTGCATGGCCGATTTGAGCTGTATCTTTATCCGAGCGTCGCACTATTCGGACTTCAGGCATCCAGCTCTGAAGAAAATGTACGGGAATTCAAGTGAATCGTTCACAGTCAAGGCATGCGAACAGACCCTGGAGCAAGACTCACCTCTGAAGAAAATCCCTGCAGCGACTCTCGATAAAATAAAAGATGAGCTCATTCGTTCTACTCCATCCCCCTCGACGAAAAAAATAAAGCTCGAATCACCGTTGTCGCAGAAGAAAATTTGTGATTACTTCAGTCCATCTTCGAAGAAAGCGGCGATTGCAGGAGTACGAAATGTTCGCTGTGATCTCTCTGGAAAATTTTTGAACATTCCTGCTGATCCATCGCCCGAAGATGAAAACCTCTTCAGGGATGACGATTCTTTCCCAGATGAGGGTGGATTTTTCAAGCCGTGTCCGGTGAAAGAAGAAAATCCCATCTTGGCTAGCCCTGGAAGTCCTGCTCGCTTGCTTGGCGAACTCAAACATCCTGATCAGTTGATAAGCACGTCTTTGGGTATCCAAGAAAATATTGATGCTCCCATCATTGGAACTATTTTGCAAGAGGAAACGGTTTCTGTGAATGTATCTCTGGAGTCATTTCCTCAAGGTTGATAATTCAGCTATGAATCCCAATATTTCAACGAGCTGATGGAGCCTCTTTTTCTATTTTGTGCACCCTTCGCGGAAATGTAGGCGATGATGTTGATATCGATGTCGATCAAGAACTCCTGCGTTTCAGCAAAAGAGAGGAATCAAAACGGCGGTGGGGAGCAATTCTTAATTCATCTGCTCATCCGGGTTTTGAGCAGAAGGCTGCTCCGGTGAAATCTGTAGAGAATAATTCTATGTCAGCTCCAAAAAGAAGGCGGCTTCCGCCGTTCAAGATTTTGCAAGGTGAGTTTAAGCTCGTATTCAAAAAGTTTGGTTGTACACGAACAGCGCTATACAGTATTGAAATTTTTAAATGATCGTGTATATCAGGGACAAGAATTGCGGTTGACTGCTTTGATCATGGAGACGACGTGCCGAAAGTGGATTTCTTCTTCTTGTCGCATTTCCATTATGATCATTATCGTGGGTTAACCAAGCAGTGGTCAAAGCCAGTGTATTGCTCTCTTGTTACTGGAAACCTTGTGATATCGAAGTTGGGAGTCAAAGCAGAACTTGTGACCAAACTTGCTATGAATAGTCCGATTGTAGTCGAAGACCCTCACGGGAAAGCTGACTTCAGTGTGACCTTGTTGGATGCTCATCAGTGAGTTCATTTTTTGCTTATCTCAGGGGACTTTTGTGAAATCGTTTCTTTTTATTTATTGTTCCTTCCGCTTATATGCGCGCATTAATTATTCTGTGACCGCAGTTGTCCCGGTGCCGTATTGTTTCTTTTCGAAATGAAGAATGGCATAACCTACTTACACACTGGAGATTTTCGGGCTCATCCGAAGATGGAGTCTTACCCGGAACTACGAAATATCCGCATTAACTTTTTATACCTTGATACCACGTAAGTACGGTTTTCGAATGCGTTTGTATCTTGCTTCTAATTTCGAACCTTTTAGGTTTGCGTATAGAACGATCTGGTTGAATTCTGAGTTATCTCAAGTTCAGTTTTGTACTAGGGCTTGATGCTACGATAGTTGATAACGTAAGAATATTTTACCATGTGTTTTTTTTTCTTTCGAAGATGGTTTTGGTACTGAGGGATTCTAAAACTTGTGTTTTCTATCAAGCATACTTTATTCTATAAGCGTTGAGCAATCATTTGCGAGTTGTGAATTTGCTCCAAGAAATTTCAGTTTGTGTGTTTAAGGATTGCGTTTTCTCTTTTTTTATTGTTGCTGGACTGACGAATTTCCCGTCTTGTCTTCCAGCTACATGAAAGGAGATTATACGTTTCCGTGCCAAGAAGAAGTGGTGGACGCAGTTTGCAAAATGTGTGAGATGGAAACCCGATCGCGGACAGTGAAACCGCTTATTGTTTGCGGTTCCTATTCGATTGGGAAAGAAAAAGTTTGGTCTGGCATTGCCAAACGTTTAAGTTTGAAAGTCTGGTTGCAAAGGGACCGGAGAAACACTCTCAAATGCTTGAATGATCCGGAACTCACCGCTTTGGTCGGCGTTAAGCAAGAGGACTGTTTGGTGCATGTTGTACCGATGGCTTGGTTAAATGTGAAAGTACGTAATGCCGAATTATTGACTCCTTCGAACATGTGTTACCGTCCGTCATTCATCTTTTAATACAGAAACTTACAGAGTATGCTGGAAGTATAGGTAAGGGGAATAATCGCCACACGATTGCCATCAGGCCAACTGGCTGGGAATTCAAGCCTTACAAAAATATGTTGACGAAAATTACGTCTAACGCGTCGATTACCATTTACGGTAAGCTAGTGATTACAACACTGGTGATTTCCAACTTCAGCTCATTTTTACGTTCTTAGGTGCGCCTTATTCCGAGCACTCCAGTACATCGGAACTGGAGCGATTTGTGAAGTTTTTTACTCCTCTATCGGTTATCGCCACGGTTGGTAGATCGGATCAGCGTAAAGAATTCGAAGCGACTGCGAATGCATGGAGTCGATCAATTCTGATGAAAACCTAAGCATTTATTGCATTTATCCCCCCGAACGTCTTTATATTATTGAATTGTGGTCTTGAATCGGATTGATTAATTTTTTTCGAGTGCGCGACACGAAAGAATTGTGATTGAAATACGAACGCAGTGCGGCGTTTTTGCATACAGTATTTTGGCTTGTTTAACGGCTAGGGGGAAAACTCACGTTTTTCTCTGCACCACAGATAAATTCAGTACCGTGTTTATAGTTTCGAAAATCTTGGTCATGGATTCGGTCCTGTCCACAGCAGAGGGAAAGGTGAGAAAAATTAATTCGGGAAATATTATGTGGACTCCTTCATGAAACGACAAATTTTCAGTACTCGAGCATTGATCGGATCAGGAGCGAAGTGAGATCTATAACAAACATTTACAGCGGATTGAAACTTGAATATTCACCGTACGGTGAGTGTTGGAGTATTAAACTCACGAGAATGTTCTGGAACGAGTACCTGTTCCGTTGCAGTATTCAATGATGGTCGCACGGAGATGCTGCTCATGCTCAAGGGCGTCATTCCAGTTCCGATCAGTGGTGAGCTCGGAGTTTAATTTGCGATTGTAATCTAAGCTGAATTGTCCCGGGTTTTCCTGATTTGCCACGAGTGTTGTCTGGTTTACTCTTGGAGCTGTCTTCAACAATGTATATTTTACTGCAGTATTTACGAATGATCAGATCAATGAGATCAGAGGGAACATTTTGGGTCATCAACCGCATGAAAACTGTATGTTTTTCTCCTGACTTCACCTAGCTATAAAAGAGTAGATCAATAACTTTTTCATTAGAACTTACTACAACTAACCCATCAATTGGAGCATCATAGGAATTATTTTTTGAGTCCTCGAAGCTACGGGAAGTATAAAAACTTGACCCGCTTGTTATGCTAGTCCCCGGGAATGGTTTAAAAAATGCACACCAGTAGATGGTGTGGAAATATTTTTTTGGAGATGAATTCGTGTACGTTTTTCCCAAACTTCTCTTGGAAACCAGGTAACTTTGTGATGTCACAGTTTTGTCTCGCTTTTTTTTCAATTCCGAATTTTTACATGCGTCACTCTGAGGAAATTTTAAAAACAATATTCAATTGCTTTGTCCCGTTTGATAGAGAGACAGGAACTCTGCCTTTCATTCGTCATCCTTTGAGTTTATATTCAAACTCTCTTATGAACCGCTTTTGTTTGAGTTTCGTGACGAGACTTTTTTGAAAATTAGGCGTTACTTACAACATCCCTGTTGGAATAAGACTTACGGCCACCTACCCGAGAAATCCTCCGATTTGTTCCGTGGAGCCGACGGCGAACATGAGAATCAATGTCTCAAAATATGTCGCGCATGACGGGCGTATCTACTTACCGTACCTGCATGAATGGAAACAAGTGAGAATCCCTCGTGACTATTTCAAAAGATGGATCAGAAATCAGTTGTTTTATTCCAGGAAACGTCGGATCTGAGTGGACTTATACAAATTATGATTGCGGTGTTCATGGAGACAACGCCATTGAATTCTGTCCTCAAAAGTCCTCCTCAGCCGCCATATCCTACGCAGATGAGTGGCCGAACGAATGCAGGTTGCCCGTATCCAGTTCAGCCGTTTTTGCCGATGCCTGGTGTCGGCGGCCCTGCGAGTGCCGCCGCCAACCCACCCTATCCGACGTATTCGCCGTTCCCTAGATATCCGCAGGTCCAGGCTTCTTCTGTGTCTACAACCCCTCCGTACCCACCGAACCCGTCTTACGCAGTTGGCAGCTCGTCGACAATAACGGAGGAGCACCGAAAAGCGTCTTTGTTATCAGCAGTTGAAGACAAGGTCAGGAGGAAATTGGGGGAGATATTCCAGCAATATCAAGCCGAAATGAACGTGTTGAAAAGAACTCAAGTAGACCTGATGGAGGGAGAACGAAAGATCCAGGGCATCCTCAGCAGATTGGAGAATGAGAAAAGGGAATTGGAAGAAAAAATACAACTGATGACTGAGAAAAAGAAGGAAATTGAGGATGCTTTGGGTAAGATGGAGAAGAAGCAGGAAGACTTGAACGTTGATGACGCTGTCGTGCCCTCGGCACCTCTGTTTAAACAGTTGAGTTATCTTCGGATCTAAAAACTGAACGAGTCGGTGATTTTGATTCAATTACGTTTTCATTTATTGAAGGATCTTCGAACTTTTTGCGGAAGAAAACGCTACTCAAGATGCCATTTATTATCTGGGTGAAGCTCTGCGACGAAATGTTCTGGATTTGGAAACTTACTTGAAACAGGTCAGAGAGCTTTCACGAAAGCAATTCCTGCTGAGAGCGCATATGCAGAAGTGTCGGAAAGTTGCTCGTCTTGCCGGTTGAAATGAAATGCGGCAATGGTGATGATGTATTGCTCTCTCTTTTTTTTAACCGTTCTGTGAGAAATGTTTCTTTCGTCTCGCGAGGAACGTTGAATAATTTGATTGACTGAGAGCTTTGAAAATTTCGGGAAATTTTCATGGATGAATGTGTGTTTTGTTCACCGTCGTGGAACTGAGTGATCGTACGCTACGATTCTGAAGTCATAAGAGTATGCTAGAAAAAATTCCCCAAAATATTTCCATTTTTGGTCATCGCTGTATATTTGAGCGAAGAAAAATAAAATCGAATTTGGTATTATCTTTGTAGGTCACAATTTGATACCCTTCCCTCTGTTGGTCCATTCAGCCGTCTGGTGTATTTTGAAAAAGTGTTGATGCATCTGCAAAATCATCCATGAAAGGTGGTGGAGGAAAATCTGCCGGTTATTGGATGTACCGCGGGAACCTCTAAGGCGTGTTTACTTATGCGTTAGGCAGAATTATCAGCGATTCATTGAGCAGCAAGTGTATAATGTAATGGGGAAAGTTCAGCAATTAGTGAGAATGAACGAAGTAAGCGGAGTTCCATCTAATCAAGTTCGGGTATGATATTTCTGTACTAGGTAAACCTCTTTGCCTCACTATTCATAGAACTGAGGCCCAGCAAGGTCAAGATGATTTTGTTAGGAGGCTGTGCTTGTATACAGAAGATTCATTAATTAAATGTGTGCCTCGACCTGAATGAGTTGATCGTGGGCATGAAATTTGTTGGGGTTGAGAACCATGCTGTAGGATACTCGTTTGGAGATTTTGTCAATATCTGCCGAGCGTGTCCTGAAGGAAAAGCACGAGCTGTGTTTGGGTTTGCAATGAGCTTTCCTAAATCCGTGTATATTTGCATGTTCAGTACACTATTCATTCTCGATTCTCCACTTCGAAATTTGAATCGCATCATCAGTTGAAAAGAGTGTTGAGACATTAAAATAATCCGAGAAATACGAAGTCGTATTCATTATCAATGGATGCGAATCCAGTTCGTCATGATGGACGAACTGATGGCCTTGCTGCATGCATCGATTTCAGCAGACCTGTTCATCTCAGTTTTGTACGATTCGGATTACCATCAATTCAAATGAAGTCAGTTCTCATCAGATGCTGCGAAAAATTCCCACGTTCGCAATTTTCCTGCTGAGAATGAATTATGGGAATGTCTTGGGGGGGAATCTTTCAGGGAGTTGGAAGAAAGTATAATTTGGCCTTCGGGTCCAACACGAAAATGCTTGTCCGGCGGTTTCAATGCAGTGCAATTAATGCCATGGAGATTTCTCCCGCTTGATTTCCATCTTATCACGCAACATGGTGAATTTATTTTTCCAAAACTGTATCGCTCCTGTAAGTCCTAATCATTTTAACTGGGCATCTTTTGAGTAGAATTAGTCAACTGAAGCACGGGTACAGTAATCCATGCGCTGAAAACAACCTTATTGTACGTAGACGAAGCCATCTCATATACATGAATAACGTAAAATAAAATGATTTTGTTGGTGGATGCTCTTCTCCCTGGAGCTTATATGTGAGCTGCTAAAATTTTGAAAATTTTCAATCCTATACTGTATTTTATTGTGCTACTACCAGCAAATAATTCATACAATATCTGAAGGAAAAGCAAGTTCATAAAATCTATTTTAAAAAATCAAGGGAAATGCATGCAGATACAGTATTTAAAATCTAAAGGCTGCTGATGGAAAATATTTATTGATCAAAGAAATATTTTTATTGTTCATAGATTATAAACCAAATATCATACTGATTGAACTTGAAAGCCAGAAGGATAACCAGAAGATCATAGACACATGTAATAATAAGCTCCAATCTCAAAGCCATTCGTTAAGAAAGTTTGGAAAATTTATTTAAACATGAAGCGGGTGGGTGGGCACCTCCATGCTTGTAAATATATATAGTGTGTCCTTGTTTTATTATTGTCATAATCCTCAACCCACTATACACAGGAAGAAGAAACCATAAATTGCTGAAAGTATAATAATATTTGTAAATACGTTTGCTATGCAGTACATTTCTGCTCTGGTGAGATTGGGCCTCACTATACAGTACATATACGAACACAAAAATACCCCTCAAAGACTTCACTATGTAAAAGTTTCTGAGCTTTAAATGCCATATTTCTTTTAAATACTGTACATATACAGTATATATATATTTCCAAGCATCAGGTTGAACATGAGCATATTTTTCCAATTTATTTAGAATCAGAATTGGAAACTGCTTTTCTTTGAAAGATATTAAATTCCAGTCCTTTAATTTCCAGAAAAATGCTTGTACAGTATAATTTTTCCCGCCATTGGAAAACTACAAATTTTTTTCTGAACACTAGAATGAGTATGAATTGCATGTATATTAAAGAATTAAGGGAAAAAAGATTACAGGACTGTATTCCGCATAATTAAATAATCACCCAGTACTTTTACGAGTATAAGGCCCCATCTACTCAAATTTTGTCCGCAATTTTTTCACGCAAGTTAAAAAATATTTGTGAAGTTGTTTTTTGCATCTCATGACGATAAAGATTTTTAATAATTTTTCATTAAAGGACATGCATGATTGTTTTTTTCTTTACTCTTGCCTTATATGAAGCTTCAGTATCAAGTCAGCAAGGTTTTCAGTAAAATTTTCCTTTGAACTACAACGTATATAATGGTCAAATTTTCCGAAGACTGAAGAATCAGGATATATAGGATAGTACTGTATCTGAAGACTCAGCATATATGCTGGGAAATCATCAAGTATGCTGCAGGGGATGTGATCCACTTCGATGCCAATTAATTTTGGCAAAAAAAATTGAAAATTCCAGCAAGTATATGTACAGTAATGTACATGCAGAATTAGCACCATTTACAGATTTACTATATACAGCAGTACTGTAGCTTACTGTACAGTACTATACCATTCTGGATCCTATACATCATCTGCCCTGACGCAATATACAGTATATTGTCGTCCTATATAGATATTGATGATGAGGTTAAGCATAAAGCAAAATTTCAGCTAATTTGAGGATGAAGCGCCCGGAAATAAAGGTGCATGACAAATTTTCCTTCTGGCTGATATATTAAAAATTAAAATACAGCAGGTTTTAAAATTTTTTTAATTCGTCGGAAACTACTTCAATTCTCTTTCCGTGATAAAAAATCTTTCATCATAAGAAGGCCAATGAATGTACTGTATATATAGAGATCGGGAGGCTAATAAATTAAGAAATTTGGATAAAATCCTTCTTATGGAGTGAGCCTTGTTAAATAAAGGGAAATTTTAAAATGAATGAATGTCTTATTACTGCACGCTACAGTAACCCTGAGACACGAGTTCTCCTGCGCTTTTTAGAATAAAAAACAGGGGGCACCCCCCCACCTGAGAAAATACTTTCCGGTACTGTATAGTTAACTATACTAGACTTCACAATACTTTACTGTACTGTACACTGCTTCATTGATGAATGAGTGTACGGCTGTATGAATTGTGGATCAGCCGACAATGCAGGTATACTGTACACCCCTCCATTGTCAGAACCCGCAATCTTGTCCGCGGGGACGAAACTGGAGGAGGCCTTAATATGTTCGCCGGCCTTACCTTTCACGGTCGGGATGAGTGGGTGTTCTGACGAGCGCGGATTGTTTGGAGGCCAATGTATTCCATCGGACTGACGATTTTTTCCTGAGATTTTGAGTGCTGTCCTTGCATGGCGCGGATAGGAATACTTAGTCGTGAACTGTGATATGTTCAGCGTGTTCGTGTCCTCATGGATTGCCCTGAACATTTCGTTATTCGATGTGATTACGAACCATTCATTCGTGAAGCTAAGTGAGACAATCCTGTGTGTTGCATTCTCATATTATCACTATTTCTTTTTTATGACTCCGAAAACATCACAACGTCTAGGATTCATGATAGTGGTCTTTCTGGAGTTATGGCAAAAAATACGCTTAGTTCCGCATTCCGAAAACTTGACGTCGATCAGTATGATGCCGAAAAGTACATCGAAGAAGATGCTGCCGAACCGCAGTCCCCTCCAGTTGGACCAGACGAACGAGAGATTAATTCTCTCGTCGCTCAGTAATGCCATCCGTCGATTCAGCTATTGGGGAAGCGTTCTGTAGTGATTCGATTTTCTTTCAGGAATAAATGCGTCGACGCTCTACTGAATATCCTGCAAAACTCTCCGTGCGGTGCCAAAAACCAGATGGTGCGTGTAAGTACATGTACTGAATACACGATCGATCGTTCTCTCTGTGATCTGTGTTTTTCTTCTAGGATTCTGCTTTAAACCTCATGTTGAAGGTGATGACGTCCATCAAATCAAGCAGCGTCGAAGAAGCCGTGAATTCCGTGCCAAAGCACCAGGTATGCTACAGAAACAGATCAGTATATGAAACCGGGTCGAATTTGCTCGTTTTTCTCTAGATTGATCTATTGATGAAGTACATCTATAGAGGATTTGAGGTTCCATCCGAAGGAAGCAGCGGACATCTACTTCTGTGGCACGAAAAAGTATTCGAAAAAGGTGGTCTAGGATGCATCGTTCGGGTGCTTACGGACCGGAAAAAAGTTTGAAGTGAATTTTTTTGAGATTTGCAATAATATTAAAGGAAACGAACTTCCGGCATTCGGGTGCTACCCAACGAGAATTCCCCTGCTTTTCCATTGTCTCACGTGGGCGTTTCCAGTCACAACTTATCCGTATTTTGGATCTATGATTCCAGTTATTTTCACTCGTCGCTTGCGCAAGCTTAGGTTAAGTTTAAACTGTACTACTGTATTTATTGGTAAATGAACAAATGTTGCTTGTTGTTCTGATATCCTTATTTACAAGAAATGGCGTGCATTCAATGAATAATCGCCCAAACCTTGTTGCAGGGGTTTCTTGTAACTACGAGACGTGACGCGCTTTCCTTTTTGCCACCGAGTATTTCGAACAATTTCAAGTGGATAATTGCTCCTGTCATGGATGATACGCAACCACGCGTAGTAACAATACATAAAAATGAGAATGGCTTCGGTTTTAATGTTCGTGGGCAAGTGAGCGAAGGCGGACAGTTGAAAAGCATCAATGGTGAGCTGTATGGACCCATGCAACATGTGTCTGCTGTCCTGGAAGGTGGAGCTGCGGAAAAAGCTGGTGTACGGAAGGGGGACAGGATTTTGGAAGTGTAAGTTTTTTGTAGCGGTTTTAGAGTGATTCGAATAATGTATTTCGTATGAATTACCTTATTAGTTCGCACACAGTAAAAAAATATTTTTGTTCGTGTTCGATGTGAAAAGGACTATCATTATTTTCTGAAGTTTCGAAAAAAAACAAAGTATAGAACAGTATTCAAAATCGTAAGAGATTTCCTCGTTACATTCTGCATTGGTTCCCTGGCCGTTGTAAGCCGTTGCATGAAAGTCAAACAAACCGTGTTCAACAGCTATTGAATTCTCTGACCAAATGTGCAGCTCGTTTTGGAAAAATCATGTTTTGTCAATTTTTTTACATTTCCGTAGGAATGGCACTGTCGTTGAAGGATTCACTCATCGGCAAGTCGTTGATTTAATCAGGGCTGGTGGAGATGATTTGACACTAACTGTGATCTCTGTCAGCGAAGAAGAAGCGGACCGGCTTGAGCCTTTAGAAGACTCAAATGGGGACCTCACAATTTACGACTATTCAGACAAGCGGTCTTTACCCATTACCATTCCAGACTATTGTTCTGTTGTTGGATTGGGCAACGAAAAGTTTGTCGTCTATAATATTTACATGGCTGGTCGTCATTTGTGCTCGCGAAGATATTCAGAGTTCTGTAGCCTTCACCAGGCGCTCAAGCGAGAGTTCTACGATTTTTCCTTCCCGAAACTCCCTGGGAAGTGGCTATTCACGCTTAATGAGCAGCAGCTTGATGCCAGGCGTCGAGGGCTCGAACATTATTTGGAGAAGATTTGTGCCGTTCGTGTCATTGCTGACTCTGACATAGTACAAGAATTTTTCACTGATAACAAATTGGAAGGCCCGAGTGTCGGTCCCGTGATCAACGTGGACATAAAAGTGTTGTTGCCAGATCAAAAAGTCGTTTGCCTCTCAGTGAAGAAAACTTCTACCGCTGACGAAGTGTACCAAAGCGTTCTCACGAAGATAAATATGGATCCAGAAACGGCCCGGTTTTTTGCACTTTTCGAGCTGATCGAATATTGTTTCGGTACGTTCTTGATAAGATTTGCATCATTGTTTATTGGCTGGAATGCGTTATGAATATTTCAGAGCGTAAGTTGCAGGCGAATGAATTCCCTCATGCAATATATATTCAAAACTACACGACTGCCACTGCTACGTGCCTTGCGTTGCGGAAGTGGGCCTTTTTGCCTGAAGTGGAGTCGAGGTTGCTCGGAGATACCCAAGCAGTTTCGTACATTTATTGGCAAGCTGTGGACGACGTGAATCGAGGTCACGTGAAAGCCGGCAACAAATTATACGAGCTCAAAGCCGTTCAAGATCCCGGAAAAGCCCTTGATGTGAGTGTGATTTTCTTGGATGAATAATTTTTCGCTTGATCAAGGTTATCGTATTGCAAATATTATACGGGGATATTGTTGCAGCATTTCGTATTGATCGCTGCGAACAAAATGTGAGACGGATGAGTGTTCTGTTCAAACTTCGTGCTAAGAAAGGCAGAACCTATTGAATTGTTGCGTGATTAAAAAATGCGAGTATTGTGTTATCAGACTTATCCGAAAGGATTTTCATTGCGAAGTATTGGTAAGTAAAATTTTTCATTATAAATTGGACCAGACGTGCGTTCGAAAGCAACAAAACAAAACAAAAATTGATGTGTGTTATCCACCAACTGTCATTGATAAGGCTGGTTTATGAGGGCTCTGACGTAATTCTCGAACATACACTAAAGTTTCTTCCCCCGCAGTTCAGTACGCCCGTCCCAAATCAATTTTATCATTTATTCCAGTATTTGAAGCTCGTGATGGAACTTCCGGGATATGGTGATGTACGGTTTCCTCACTGCGCATGCGACGCGAGAAAAACAGGACATGTTATTCCTATCGTGAATGGGAAAATTTTTCGGTTAGAAGCCTGTACAATCGACGGCGAGGTTGAGGTAAATGATTGAATTTGAAAATTTGTGGTGTTTTCGTTCACTCAGTGTGATTATTTTTCAGCCCCAGATGATCGAATTTGCGTGGAACACTATCTTGCAATGGGAAATCGATGAGAAAAACTTCTCCTTCAACTTCCTGTACGATCGAACTCCAAAGCCACCGCGATGGGTGAAAATCTTCGGTGCTTTTGTGAGTTTTAATTTTCGGTATCATAATATTTTCCTTTGAGTCACAATTTGTCTTCTGTATATTTTTTTAGAATATTTATCTTTGGGAGTGTTTTCAACGGGTTCAAGAAGAACTGGATTGGCTGCGAAACGATTCTAACATTGAAAGACACTCTACGCCATGAAAAAGTGGCGGAATTATCTCTCTGTCCTCCTAGCACGCGTGAACCCTTGCAACTGGATGCAAAGTTCTGCGTTCTTCGCTCGTTGTGCTTGACATCGCTAATCAACGATACCTTGAAACTATGTATCGAGGCAATCTGAGTATTCAGTTTCTTTGGAAACTAAGTTAAACTATGTCCCGTGAAATTTCGCGTTCAGGGTGGGCGAGCACCTCTAAATTAGTCACGTGCGAATGTATGCGGAAGTGACTATCTTTTTTAGATCAGATCCACAGTTTGAGCTTGATTTGTTATTTGCACTGCCTTTTGTTTCTACTTTGGATTACCATTAATTGATTGAGCTGAAACGTCGCGGAGCTTCAGACTGACCTAGGTGTTTGTTTTGAATGGCATATTTTATTTTTTATGAAGGAGGAGAGAAAAAAAATAGCGGCAGCGATGCACCGTCATCCATTCCTGAATATTGAAAATTAGCATTGATCTTGTCTGCGTGATACATGTGATGATTCTGCTCGTCTGAGATCTCCTTCAGCTTGACAGTTTGGGTTTGTTCTGATTTTAGCGTATTTTCTGTGAGTGAAGATGCGTTTATGAAATGACTGACGGAGGAATGGAGGCAGTTGAATTTTAGCTTTTGCACACGAAGTTGGGGTCGTTCGTCGTATTTTTTTTTAATGTAACGCTGGTTTTGTGAACGAGTGCTGAACTGTCTTGTTCGTTTTTCAGTGTGGATGAGTGAATATCTTCTAAAATGGTTATAGCCGAGACGAAGCATGTTGATCTTCGTGAAGCTATACAAAAACAAAGCTTCATTGGCCCGGATGAAACAATCGTTGATGTTGCTCAAGTAGCACATGCGAACAAGAAGAAAAAATTGAGCTATCTTTGCATTGTGGCGAACTCGAAGTCCGAAGGATATCTTCTTCAGGTTTGTTAGATGATGGTTTTTCAAAAGAGCAATCCGCGTTTTAATTTGAATTTTCAGGTTAAATTGGATGGTGCTGTTTACAAAAAGAAACGATCTTGGCTTCTTGAGAATATTCAAAGCTTTGACGGAAAAAATTTGCGGGCGGTAAGCAAAAATTTGGCGCATTTTGTTGTTCAGCTTTATTGTGGATGTTTCTTTAACAGGATAACTTGGAGCTTGATTTTACCTCGGACAAGCCGTATCATTGGCTTTTTTCTGATGCTCTTGAGCGTGACAGCTTTATCCATTCAGCGCACAAAGTTGGTTTTAGAACACTTCCTAAACGAATGATGAATTCAACCCGACAATTCTTCGCAGGCATGTCGGCGATATTGTCGGAAAATTTGCCCCAAGTTCATCAACGTACCAGAGCAATTGCTTGAGAGCTTCTTGGGACCAGTTATTGGTATAAACATCATATGCATGTGTTCGATGTTTGAAGTGACCGGATAATTTCCTTGAGAACAGGAGATGCCATTGTGAATGAGAAAGATGCAGACGAAGATATGCGACTTCTCAATTTCCAGCTGACGGAATTGAGTGAAAGAGAAGAAGATGATTTGTTGCGTTTGCTTGATGAGTGTGAAGCATCTGGTCAGGCCGGGCTTCTGGAGGCTGAAATTTTTTACCAGCGACTGCAGGAGGAAGCGTCACGTCTGGACGACGTAATATCCGACGAAGAGAAAAATAGTTTACTCAATCATCCTTCCCTAATTTCTTATTTTTAGGCAAGTTTGAAGTCCATGGTCACTCCCACGGTCCCAGAAGGCCGCAGCGAAAGTGAAATTGTTGTTGATCATCTCGAGGCTGCGGAAAATGACGTTTCGCAGGTGTTGAAGGAGTTGGATGATTATACATCAATCGTATCAGCGGTGTATAACAAAGTAATTTTGATTGAGGAGAAGCAACGGATGATACAAACGAAAAATCAGAACAGCCGTAAATTGATGATCCTTCTACAACGTTTTGTGGTGAGATGAGTTTCATGCAAAAGGCAATTCGAATTCTGCGTTCTGTGAGATTTTCAAGTTGGATTTCTGTTTGTAGAGTCAGTTGGACGTCGATCCTCGAGATCTTCAAATTTTATCGGAAGCCGATTTCTCAGCGTCGGAATCTGCTACGAAACTGTGCGCATCAGCAGAAAACCTTAAAATTGCACTGAGACCTAGTTTACCCCCTGGAATGGAAAAACTAGCTGCTTATCAGGAGCAGCGGAAGAAGCATGAAAGAGTGAAGAATAAGTTTTCGCAGAAACTCCAGTTGCACCTTCGAAATATGTTCACGCATTTGGTAAGTATATCAAAATTGTAGATGTAGTCGTATCAACTGTATTGATAATTTAGCTGTAGTATGGCTTCGTGCAACGAACTAATTTGTTTCAAATATAGTTATTTTTATGTGACACGTTTTCCGAAAAATGCTGTGGGAAAACGATTGATGCCGTGATGCCTTACAAAAGCAATTGACAAATTTAGAAAGTGCGATATCTCCGTTACTCGAGGTAAAATTAAACTCTTCTAAAGCTATCCTAACTTTTTTTAAACTAATCATTCAATAAACTAGTGAAACTTTTATAATTTGAAATACTTCATTTTTCGCGAAGGGGGTGAAGAACAATGAAAAGGAAATCTGAACTCTGCCGCCAAAATAAACATTCTCTTCACCAGCGTATCAAAAGTTGAAGAAATTCTGACAAGCCTGATGGGAAGTTTCAGAGCAATATTAACGGTTTGGTTGTCCAACTGTTCGCAAGTCATTTGGAGACATTTCTGCACTATCGAAAATTCAAGTAGCAAATTCTTAGAGTTACTGTACATCTTATTCAAATGACAGTGGTAGTGGATGTCCATGAATTAAAAGCCATTTATGCCTACGTGATTTGAAATTGAAACGAATTTTATTTTACCTGCTGTACATGTCATGGCTTGAACCATTGAGCACAATCAGGAGAAACTTCATCTTGAATGTTACTCACTGAAAACGCGGGTTCATTGTAAACATTTTTTAGCCAATTTTGGCACAGATCCGGCTTTGTTGCATCATTTGCTTGAGATATTTCTTGCATTGGGCATCAGTGTGATTTTCTTTTGGAAAGCCCTTCAGGATGCATGCCAATACGAAATCTGCTAGTGAGAAACGCACAGCTGTGTTTTGTTGGTTTTTAGCCCTTGATTGACGATGTCATAAAAATGAGCCAACTATTCCAAAATCGAGGTACGGTTATACAGTATTTTCTCTGGCATATGCCGCGAAGACATGCCATCCTCTGAAGATCACTACTGCGTTAGGAAAACATTTGTTCAAGGGTATTACGAAAAAATTACCTGCCATTTTCTTTTCCATTCTAGACAAGCATGAGTATCGAAGGCGGAGTTGTGCGACCTGTGGAAGAGCTCTCCCTTGCTGGACATTCGGCAATCCATCGCCTGCTTAGGCCATACACCCATTTGTCCCTTTGGTTGAAAGATGCAGACCCTCCTGCGCACGAGGATTTAATCAAAGAATACGCAAAATCAGTTTCTCGATTATATGACCGAGACATAAAACAGTTTTTCTTGGATGCGAGGAAAGCGATTGGGGCCAAAGGGCGTGGTGGACGATGGGAAAATGCTGATTTCAGTGGAGTTTCTGGAGCTCAGCAACTGGTTTCTGAGGGAGTGAGGGGACTCATAAGAGGTGCAAAAACAGTTTCTGGTGCCGTGAGTTCGCCGTCTCAAGCGGGGGCATCGATGATGTCGGGAATCACGAATTCCCGGCCTCCTTACGAATCGCAGCTTCTGGGTCTTGACTCCGAACAATTCATGGTTGGGGTAAGCATTATTACGGTATTTTTTCATGTCGAAGATTCTCAAAGCGGCTTAAATCTTATTTAAACCCTCAGTCGGCTGATGATGTTGCTAGAAGAGAAGTCTTCGATCAAATGCTGGATCGGCTGTTGAGTGAGCTTCAACCAGTGTGTCTCGCTGAGCAAAACTTCTGCATGAAATTTTTCCGCCTTGGTGGACCGGTGTCCAGTACATCCATGAGTTCATCCATTTCTCAGGTACTTCTCTCTTATCGTAAAATCGGTTTGGCCCATCGAAAAGCGCTCTTTTAATTTCTAGGGCTCTTTGGCGTCAACTGCAACTCTAGGACTTGTTGGACCTATTACTGGCAGCAGAAAAGGAAGCTTACACACGTTGGATGTAGGAGATGGAAATTCGGGACTTTTTCATGGGAACAATTCTTCGCAGGATTCCAAAGTGATGACCCAAGAACTGCGGAAACTAATGGCAGCATTGTTCCCAAATCTGAGTGAAGAACTCGGTAATTTTATCCAGTTCTACTCGGACAAAGTTGATGGATTGTAAGTAGGGGATTTTCCAAATGTGGTGTGAGATTCTGTTATATTTCAGTTTTCGATAAATCTAGTAATTCCATGGTCCTTCTCGTCGGATTGAGTGAACATGTGTTGAAGGCGCAAGACACAGGCTCCTTTTTGTCTGTGACTTTTGGATCGGCTCTCATTCAAGCCAAACGCAGTCTGGATAAGTTTATGCAAGCCCAGCTAAGAAGCTTGGCGGAATTCAAACCGAAGAACGCCAGAAAACTAGGAATTCTTCCGTTCATCCGAAATTTCGAGGTTTACCGGAAAACTGCGCAGCAGCTTCCAACTTCTTTCGTCAATTTCTTGATCCTTTTCAGAGCTTGGTGCGAACGTCGGAAGGCATTTATGGGGATTGCCCGAGGAGGGCTGACTTGGATAAGTGGTACGCCTTCCTTGTAGAAAAGATCTTTGAGACCGTAGAACGTTTGGCGTCGAGTGAGAAAGTGACGCATTCGAGAACGTACACGGGTGATGTCGCACGTATGGAGAACTATTGGTACCTTTGGTCCGTGTTGTCGCAAGTAAAGATAGCTGCGCTCGAAGGAGAACGGAAGAAATCCAAAGAACTTTACAATGAAGCTTTGCATCGTTATGTTGTTGAACATTTCGGGCAACCGTTGGAGAAGTTGAATGTGCGCCCCGAATTTATATGCTTTTGAAGTGATTTCTTGAATGACCATTGTATTTTTTCAGACGTTTTTTGAAGGAGTACTGGCGTTGGTCGCCGGAGGAGTAAGAGAAGAGGAAGTATGTTTCAGAGTAGCATACTCGAAATCGGAACTGCGCAAAGTTGTTGCCCTTTATCCACCAAAAGAAGTACACAAAGGGTTGGAAAATCTTTACGTGGGTTTGCAGAGGAAGCTTTCAGTTGAAGCAAATTTGATGCAGGTTGTAACGCTGTTTTTGTTTCACTCTGTTTTAAATATTTAACAATTATTGAATGCTCAGGTTGTGTGGCGTGGGATGCAAGAAGAGTTTCTCAATCAATATAAGGCTATTGAAGACTTGATTCAACGATGTTACCCGGATTCCCGCATCCAGCTCGAATTCACTGTGGAAGATATTTTGAAATTTTTCTCCGAGATTGCCCAGAAGCACAGTTGAAGTGTTTCTTCGCAGATTTTTATTTTATTTATTTATTTCATGGACCCTACCCGCGATTGAGACTCATAGGATTTGAGCATTACCTGTGATCAAGTTAACGCGTTGAATATTGTTGCAAATCTAACCCAACGTACGTTATTGGGATCCACGTGGTTGATAAAATCTGCTATTCAAGGATGCATCGATTTTTCGTATTCGGGGCATAATTTTTACGTGATCTGCAGGAATTATCTTTTCATCATGCTTTAAAATCGAGATCGGAGAATCGTGACCTAAAATTCGATGAATGTTGCGTCCATGGCTAGCGCTACGTGGAGGGTAAGTATTTTTGACGACTGTAATTGATTTGAGATTGATTGTAATCTGGCTTCTAATTTCTGTAGGTGGTGCGTCCTCACGTGCCATTGATCAAGTTTCGCAAAGGCTCGAGGCCATGTGAGTACTGTACATAGCTTTGGGTTAGATGTAGATGCAGGTATGCAGTGAGTTTAAAGACGACTTTTCCCACGCTTCTCCGATTTCGGTGCATCTTTGGCAACTCTTCAAATAGAAGACTGCAATTGTTCAAATGAACATTTTCCCCCGTTACATGCAAATTTTGATTCTGAACCCAAATTTTTTGTGACTCGTTCTATTTTCTGCTTTTTTCTTCAACAGCCACAAGAGATGTTGGTTCAGAGGAAGAGTTTGCGAACAGGTCCCAACCAAATTCCGCTCAAGTTCGTTCGACTTCGTCAACGCGCGTGTTGCATCATTATGAAATCCCCCTTCGTTACCGGCGGAAAACGATTGATGCTGACGAGATCGCCTATATAAACGTGAGTCCTCTTCTTTAAATGCTCAATGTACGCGTCCAGTACACCTACGAAAGAAATTCATTTATTTTGGCCGATCGAAGAATGGAAGTTCCACTTTTGTCGCTCGGTATTACTATTTGAGTGTTCGTGCATTCGCTAAGTACTAACAGAATAAATTGTTAGGCATAAATTGATCTTTTGATAGATGTGACACATTTTTTTTCCACTCGCAGTCGGAATCATAAGTTTTTTATGAAGTGTAGTATTACATTTTGAAAGAATGTAGTGTAGTTGGGAATATCAGATCATCGGAAATATTTTTCTTCATAGTTTCCTGTCTTCCACTATTCAAAAATTATTTGCCCTAGATATTGAAACCTTGGAGGAAGAAAATATTAGTTAGCCGCCATCCGAGCGATGACGGTTTTCCGTTTCATTGATGAATTGCCTTGTGCTTCAAGATCTAAGATTTTCTGCTGATTCTCAGTTTAACTGAAATCCTCAAAAAGTGAAAAAAAGAAATCCTCAAAAAGTGAAATCCTGAAATCCTCAAAAAAAAAGCCTTTCCAGAGATAGCTCTGTATACCGAGTCGCTCGCACGCGCATCGAATGATCCCTAATAATCGATGCGATGGTTAATGCATAAAATGTATTTGTACTTACGTCATTCATGTGAAAATTCGGTGTGATGAGTCTTTAAAAGTGAAATGCAAGAAATTTTCTGATAATCCTGCCTGATTTTTAAAGTACTGTATATTGTAACCATATTCGTTCGGAAAGTATACGTGATTGATCACAAGATTCGTGTTACTTCTGTTTCTGTCTTGACGATCAAAAATATTTTACCATTATATATAAGACCAACATTTACACACATTCGAGCTAAAATGGAATATTCTACTCATGCTTCACTCACCACAATAATCTCTGGAAGATACTTCAAGCCTAATTTAGAAGTTTTAATTCGCAGTGAAAAGCCCCTTGTACATCAGTATTTTTGATTCAAAGTGTATGGAATGGAAGTCGGATTTATTCAGGCGATGTAGTGAAAATACTTTTCCGAATCATTTTCGTGAACTAAGAAGATGTAATGAGAGACTTGTGTCAAGAGAGACTTCCGGGAAAACACGTTTTGTAATAATCCGTAATTATTTCTTTTTGTGCAACAGAGGGGTGGACCGGAATGACGAGATCGTACAGCAGTGAAACCCTGATCGGCCGTGGCTGTCGTAGTTCGAAACTTCGACCCGCCGTTAATTGCCTGAACTTTTTTCGGCCAATTGGTGAATCACGGTGTGGCGATAGCTTAGTGAGAGACCGTAGTTCGGGCTCGGCGTTTCAAATCCTGATGGAAGAGATCGAGTTTACCCCAGTATTTTTTCGCTTAGCGGTTTCATTTCGTCATGGTTGAGACGAAGTTATCCGCTGAAAATTATTGTAGCCGTGTAAATTGAAACATGGTAATGAATTACCTGGTTTTGTTGACATTTCACGGATGTTTTCCATTTCAACCTGTAATATCTCTTGGCGTGCCGCTCTTTTCCGTCCCGGATTGAACAGGAACTGATGTCTTGTGCATCTCCCTGCTACAGTATTAGAAAGGTAAGGGGTTATTTTATTGCGTCCAGTTTCGTATGGGTTTTGAATTATCAAACATACAAAACAAATCAAAATATGTGCATGCGAGATGAGTCAGTTGAAAATTCGAGTGAAGTCGCTCGTTCAAATCTTCTTTGGAGCCAATTTTGTTTCCATTCCGATCGCTGTAAATCTTGGTCTGTTGAGTTGAGCCTTGGTATTTTAGAAATGTTCGCACTCAAGCATTTCGACGGAAATGAAACAAAATTGTCACGGGGAAGATCACGTATTTGGATCGTGGCTGAGGACAATGGTCTCAAAACCTAGTTTATGATCCCGAGACTCATGGTTGTGTTGAAGCTTGTCATGTTTTTTCGGAGTAGCAGTTCTTTCCTGTGTTTCAGATATCCCAAAATCACGTGGATGAGCAAGCTTTGACATTCCACGGCATAATGATTACATTGGGTTGCGGAGTATCTCTCTCACGAAGATACTCTGGCACTGTGAATTCATTTGGCATGACTCGGGGAAAATTTCATGACATGAGTCAAGTTCTTGAATCGAACTTTCTGAGAATGAGTCATCTTTGATCGTGCGGACGTCTCTGGAAATGGGTGAGAATAATTTTGTTTTCTTCAATAATGACCATATTAAACAAGTTGGATTGAAAATTCCGGACGTCATCTCGAAGTTCTTCAAATTTTAAAACTGGCAATGCCTTTAATAATAAGAGAATCTCGCGCTTGATGATCATTTCCGGTTGTCATTCGCGGATGAAAATACGTGACGTGTTCGTTTCTGGGCTCGTGCCAAGTGTATCGACCTTTGGATTAGCGAAAGCCTCTTTTTCTGTATTACGTAAGGTGCTCATTGGCGGAGTGCTCAGGCTCGACTGAGCTTTCTGTCCAGTTGCGCAAAAATCGATGCACGTGAAATACGGGGTCTGCATCGGCGTGTGTGTGAGTTTGCGTGTGCCGTCATTAGTGAATGATTCGGAGTTTTCTTCTCGCTCCGTGGAACCGATCGCCGTTGCGTTCGTTGCCCGCATTCATTTTTTTCCACAAGAATTTTATTTTTATCTCATACCTCCGGGTCAAATGTTGGAGCTTTTTCGAAGCGCCGTGTTCAAGAAAATGCGGCGTACCGTATTTGCTCGAATGTGAGCCCCCTTTTTTCAATTTTAGAAGCTCAGAAACTACGTGGATGCTTATATTTGCATAATAATGACATTCAAGTGTAAATCTGTCTGATCAAGCCCTTCGTTTCTTTAGTTCTTTTGGAATTGAACTTGCAAATAATTAAGAAATGGCCAGCTTCTAGCTCTTCAAAATACATGAATCATTGATTGGACGGGAAGAACGAAGGATCTGCAAAACCATTTTTTATTTTCTGCTGCTTTCCGAAAATGTTCCTCAACGACGCAGTATGAATTAACTATATAAAAATTTTCGATTAATTTTGAGTTTATTGTCGGGCTTGCAGAACTTACAGTCCCAAGCTCTCGAGCGCGAATATAATATATTTTGCTCAGATGGATGGACTTCTGTGGAACATTTTTTTTACACAGGCTCATTTTTTTGTGGGTAGGACTGATTCTAGTAAGAAGAGTTCACATTTTAGGGATACGTCATAAATGTAATTCAGGGGCTTAAAGGAAAAAGTTGAATTCATCATTTTCTGTTTGAGTAAGATAAAATATAGTACAGGGAATTGCAAAAACATGCAGAAGTGTCATCATTTGTATTCTGATGCTTATTAACGAGATTTCTCATTTGAATAATCGAAGGTGAACAATTCGAATTTTTATCACCGTATTTACTGGATTACCACGCGCCTTCCAGTAAAACTCGCATCCCAATTTATTTGTGCAACTTTTTTTTTCTATCAAAAACCGTTTTTTGCGTAATTTCCGCACCTCGGTTATTGTATGCTGAAAATCACGAATTGTGAAATCTCTCGTGCTTGCATCCGTTTTGTAAAAATGGATAGTTTGTCTTTCCTGTTTAATAGTTTTTTGCAGGACAGTTATAATTTATCTGCAGGACAGTAATAAACAGGAAAAGCAAGTATTGCAACTTTCTCCATTAAATTAATATTTTCCCATTCCTTTATTTTACATCTGCTATATCTCCAACTGCTATTATTATGGGAGAAACGGTTTTTCTATCCTAACAAATAATATTCCAAGAATTTTTATTGCTTTGAACCATTATGTCCCATGGACTGAGAGAATTGACACCAAACATTTCCTCTTCATATTTTTCCTTGGTTAAAAAAGTGACTGTACTCACAAATGCCGCGCACTTGCTTTGGGGATTTTACCTCAAAAAATTTATCCCCGGGTACGACGCACACTTATTCTAAGTTTGCTGAAGACAAGTATCTACTCGTCTTTGGCATTAATATTGGCTGTACAGTATACAGTACTACAATATATGAATCTACTGTACAGTAGTACGTCAATAATTTGGAAACTCGACACTCATACCTTTCAACGACCAACATTTTCATGCGTATTTGATGAACTTTCCTTATGTTATGCGTTTAGGCCCAAATGAAGCTCTTCTTTCGGAAACGCCCCTTTTTTCACCACTCGTGCGGGTGTTATTTTTTTGTCTTTTCCTACGAATTCTTGACCAGTTACTGAGGAATCATTCGGAACGACTAGCGTATAGATTAATGTCAGAAAAATTTGCGCGTCTTCGTATACTTTTTCTTATAATTCTGGAGAGTTTATGTTAGAAAGTTTCTGCCGCTTCTGAAACATCACAGTGGGACAGAGGATCTCAATGAGAGCTCCGGAAGAAAAGCCCAAAAATGTAGAAAATACTTACGTTTTTTTCATGTTCTTATGAGTTTCAAAAAAATTAGTATCAGAGGCTCCTGTGTAGAAATCGATCCCAGAAGGGGTCCGAGAGATTGAAAAGAAAGCGAACCTCTTCTGTGGGAGAGTTTCAACATGCGGGCTCCCGTTGGGCCCTCTGGTATCAGCAAAGAACCTCTTGTGAAACTTTGGGCAAGTTACTGGCCAGAATTCATTCGTGGTGAACTGGAAGCGGTACTGATGTTGGGCTGCTGCTTCACCCGCTGACCGCCTTTGTGCGATATTACGAGATTCCCTTTTGCTTGAAATAGTAGAGTCGTTGTTATCCGCTTGCGACCGTCAAGTCCCTCTCTCTTCGGATCAAAGTACTGCTCGAGTGGGTGCAAACTCAAGGGCCATGGACTCCTGAAGAAAAAGTGCCCCTTTCAAGGACCAGCAACTTTTGGCTGGTGTGGGTCGGAAGTCGTTTTAACGAGACATGAGGAAAAACCCCGGGCGAAATTCTGTTTTGGACGTTGCGCAAGTGTCGATGCAAGTGGAACTTGTCGAGGCACGCCTCGCGAAACACAGATGCGGATTTTTGAGTGTTGGATGCAATATACAGTACAGTATATTATATATACTGTATATTTACTGTATACATATATATTTATTTTTGGGGGAATGTGGAATGCTCCGTTGCGTCGAAAAAGCCGTGCTTCCGGTGAAATCGATGCATTCAAACGTGACGAAGCTGATCGCGAATGACTGCAGGTTGGATTCGAATTTCGTTCCTGTTGGGCATAAAGGAGATCCGTGTCGGGAGAAAAAGACTCCAAACAAAAAGCGCCCGCGAGAAAATCATCATGCAAAAAATAGCTCAAACACCAATTATAAACTGAATCAAATTATTGTTATGATTTTATGCTTTTGCTGTTATGTGAAGGGGTTCGCCTTGTTGAACTGATTTTTTTTTTCATTGAAACTGTAGGATGAGTTTTCAACATTGTTTCTGGATTTTATCACTTCCAAGACATTTTAGAATTTGCTCAGCACATTTCTGGTTTTGCCTACGGTTGAAACAACCTGCGTATTAAGTTTAGTTTATACTCTTTACAGTATTCGAGACTTAACGTTCAAAGTTTACTTCTCATTCGAATTTTTTCTTGCAGATGGTTCCTGAGTCCTTTGCTGATGTCTAATTTCTGCAATTCTCGCTTTGTTTTCTTCCCGATCTCTTCGACATTTTCATACTACAATATTCCTTTATTTCTTAAACCACGTAACAGCTGTGGAAAAGCTTACCCATACTAAGAAAGTCGTATCATTTGAGAGGTTTTTCACGTTCAACCGCTTTAAAAGTGGGTTGATTAAAGTTTAAAGACAGGATGACAAGGAATGGTTGGGAATAAAATGAATTTTCCTTGTGCGATTTTCGGATGCTTTCACGAGAACAAGCTCAATTTTTTTCGCGAGGCCATTTCTTCTGGGTGCTTTTTTGCTGGATTTTTTTTTATCCTCCGCGCTTTTCTCACGTCGCCTGTTAGATCACTCAACTGTTGGAGTTCAAAATTTCCAGTTGCCATCTTGGTATCGAATTAAAGTACAGTACTGTATTTGATCCTCTTTGGTTCAAAATTCCCGATTGCTTTTCCTTTCGGAATCCTAAAGTTGTTGTACATTACGACTTGCTTCCACTCCATTGTTCAGGAATAATTTCATGAACAGCGCGTGAAAACTTTTTGAAAGTGGGCAGTGCGATTTCGAGCGATTTTATTAAAATGCCATGGTGTGGAAGAGATCAATAATTCGTTACAATTTTATCTAGTCGTAAAACCGAGTTATACCGAAACTTTAGAATATCATCATAGCATTCCAACGAATGTCGTTAAAACGAGTAATCGGTTACAATGAAGAGGTTTTTTGGGTTCTTGCACAATAGCCACAATGGTAGATGAGTTACTTCATGACGAATTTTCCGTTGCAATGAACCGTTTTTCCTAGTCCCAATGGCTTCGTTGTTGAAAGATTTTACGATATTGCGAACGAATCCAGCGTAAAATGGTAGAAATCATGTGTTTGTCTCAACTACCGACTACAGTATTT